CTTCTGTTACTCCTCATACGACTTTCTCCTGTTTCTTCTGCTTAGGGACGGCAGCGTAAATGTGCTCATCAACATCAGCAGAAGTTTATTATTTTTAAGAACTTCCTATGACTTGAATAAATCCAGAAGAGGTCTGAAAGAGCTTCCAATATAAAATAGTTCTCTGTTTGTCACTCCATTTGTATTATATTCATAGGCTTCTTAACCTTACCTTATCTGGTGCATTCCCCAGTGTGTTGACCTTGAAGAATGTGTAATATGAATCCTATATTCTAGACCTGATGATGGAATTAAGGAGGAGTTAAATTGAGGACAGGACAGGAAGGCTAGGAGTCATGCCCCTCACCTTCTAGCCATTAGAACATATGGGACTAAAGGGTGACTTTCGAACTTGAGCCATTTCTCTGGGGTTCTGACATACCTTTCTGCTACTACAGCTGCTGTCAGAGTTTCATTTTGAGCTGGCTGCACTGAGTCATATTATATTTTATACAACTCAAATGGTAAACAAAGGCATACTTACCTTTGTGGATATTAGTGACTATAGGCATATCCAAAGTAGAGATTTTAGCAAAAACTGGGAAAGGAGCCACCAGCCCTATCCTGCATTCAATATTCATTAACCATGCAACCTGTATTTTTGTGGATGGTCCTAATTTCATTTATTCTGTTTTATCAACCCTGTAAATTCAGGCATACTTTAAAAACCAGGTGTACTAATATTTTGTTGGGAAATAGTCATTTTGGATTCCTTGGATGGATTTCCTAGACTTTTATTTATTTAATTTCTAATTTCTGTTATGCTTTCTACTATTGCCAGTTGGTTTATTGTGTCTCCTATTAAGCCACATCCCCCTGTAACTGCCCAGGGTAGACTCTAAGGCTTGGTGCCAGATGGCCAGGTCCTCTAACTTGTCCTAAAAGAGAAATCCACTTCACTTACCAGGAAAACTCTTATCTACATTATCAGACTTTGCTATTCCCCTAGTTTATACTTTGAGTAAAGGGCATCAAATACCCACTGAAGTGTTTTTTTCTTTTTCCCTTTAATTTTTGTAAATGCTTGGTAAATAATGCTATTTTGTGTTTAAGTCCTGAATAACTTATATTATGTCAGCATATGTTTAGGATCATCCTAGAGATGATCATCCAGCAGTACTTAAAACATGTGCATATGTGTGTGTATTTATGTATGCAGATAGATTTGTTAACATGTGAATTTACCGAATTGATGTCCTATTTCTTTGTTTTATTCACTGATCAATACTTTTTTAAGCTCTTCTGTTTCGGTATATGTGAGTCACACCATTCTCTTTATCAACAGCATAGTATTCTATGCAGTATTTATGTGCAGTCATAATTTATTTTATATTTATAGATATTTAGTTTAAATTTTCCCAAATTATTAATATTTCAAATGATGTTGCAGTCAAGTTCTTTGGACATTTATTTTTATATTCTTAAGTGTTTCTTTAAGAGCCAGTCCTACAGTTGGCCTTTCTGATTCCAAGGACATGTATATTTATAATCTTGATAAACATTCATTGTCGGGTTTCTCCTCTGCTCATGCAAAAATACTGCATGTACACTCTTAATCATCCATGGGAGAATTTGTTTCTTCTCCTTCTCCCCCAATACATGTTATTAGATATTATCAATCTTTTTAATTTATGCTAATCTGATGGATGAAAATATTTATTTCTTGTTTTAATTTGTATATCCCTGATTAAGAGTGAAGCTGAGCAGGGTTTTCCTATTTTTTTTAAAGCAGTGCTCTCCAGGAGGATTCAACAGCTGAAGGTATAAACAAAAGCTTAAAAATGCTTTAAGAAACTATAGGAACATATATAATTACCTGGGGAGAAATTCATAAAGTAAAAGTTCACAGATTTTTTTTAGCCGTATCTGTTAAAAAAGTATACATGCAAAAAGCATTAGAATACAGTTAAATACTGCCTCTTCACATGAGGAACCCTTTGCTAAATAAGGCAAACAAAACACGAATACTCAGAACATTATAAGGCACTCCTACAAATCAGTCAGAAAAATAACTCAAGAGAAAAATGTGTAAATAAATTCTTTGAAGAGAAGGAATCCTGAATGTCCAGTAAATGAAAATCCTTAACCTGCTTGCTTTTTTTTTTCTACCAGCAATATAAAGTAACTGTCTTATATCAACCATAAAGATCTTTATTCTCTTAAACAATTATATAGATTATTTATTTATTTAAACATTAATTTATTTATTTAAACATTAATTGATGGATACCTAGATTGTTTTCTATTTTTGTTATGGTAATTCTCCAGTATGTTTATTTATATGCTTCTTATTTAGATTAAATTCCTACTCATTAATTTGCTAGGTCAAGTGACATACATATTTAAAATCTATTGTGTATTATAAAATACTCTCCAGAAAGAAATTAATGAGAGTGGATCTCTCATCACAAACTACTAATACAGGCATTATCAGGTGTTGGTTTTTTGATTGTTGTTGTTGTTTTGTTTTTGTTTTTATTTGAGACAGGATCGCACTCTGTTGCTCAGGCTGGAATGCAGTGGCACAATCATCGCTCACTGCAGTCTCAACCTCCCAGGCTCAGGTGATCCTCCTACTTTATCCTTTTAAGTAGCTGCTACTATGGGGACTAAAGGCATGGCAGGCAGCACCATGCCCAGCCAAAAGTTTTTTAATTTTTTTGTGGAGATGGGGTTTCGCCATGTTGCCCAGGCTGATCTCGAACTACTGGGCTCGAGCGATCTGCTCACCTCGGCCTTCCAAAGTGCTGGGATTAATAGGCCCATTGTCAGTTTTTTTAGTCTTAGCCTATCTGATGGGTGAAAATTTCTACCTTATTTGAAAACATTTGTTTCCTTTGTTATTGGTAACATTTAGTATCTTTTAATGTTTGTATTTTTGAATGTTTGTATACCATTTGCTTTTGTTTATTGTTTTGTTTTGTAATTTTCATTTATTAATTGCTTATTCTATCGTCTACTGATTTTTCTATTGGTACCTATACTGAATATGTGAACTCTTTATATATTAATGGTATCCCTTTTCTTTCACTGTCACCTATGTTACAATTTCATCTTTTTTGTCACTTAACTTTTCATGGTGTTCTTTGACAAAAGTTTTGTGTGGTCATATATGTCAGCCTTATGTTTTTTAGCGTCTGATTGTTATTACTGTTGATATACAATAGGATAGTTAATGCACTTCCTTCAGTATGCATTATTTTACTACTTGGAATCTTTATTTCTAGAAAAATATAGAAAATTGATTATGCCACAAGGATAACAATTGTCAGTGTCATGTAAGTTTGAATATGCAGTTACTGTAATTTGTTTTACTTATCATGTTTTATTTGCCAGTTTTTTAGACAATTTCTACATCAATTTAATCATCTCCTCATTATTTTGTTATTTATGTCACTTAAGATCTGTGTTTTCGCTGTTAGATCATTGTTTTATCTGCAGATTTTATTCTCTTCAAAATGAAGAATTATGTCTCCTTGTTTAGGTCTATCATGGCACTACTTACCTGATAATAACCACTTTTGATGATGGCTGCAGTGGTGGGACCCTAGAAATAGATGCATAAGTCCTGGCAGGTTACATAGCTCCTACAAACTGATTGTAGATCCTAGAAGCAACAGACTTTTTATTATCCTTTTGCCAGATTGACCATTATATTTAAAAGAGAGAATGGTACAGTGTTGCTGTGGAATGGATCTACTATGCATATTCTCACTGCTTTAAAAATCACTGATCATATAAAAAGAGAAGAATGCACTAGCTTAGTGTTTGATCTTGACCACATAGATCTAACGTCATGATCAATTGCTTTCAGCATTTTCTTTGAAATCACATAAGGTTCATATGTGCCAGATTTCATAAGGATCACATGATAAGGTCAAGAAATACAAATTCCAAGGCAGAATTTATATACCCACTTCACATATGACAGTAATACTAAATAACCATATGTTGAATATAATACACTGCATGTAAATGCTATTCTTGAAAGGAATCCAATCAATAAAACTTAAAATAAATAATACTTTAATAACACATTTCAAATAGACTGAAAATGGAATAGATGGACTCTATGGCAAGAACATCCCTATAAAACTGACATTCAGAGGCCATTAAAACGCAGAGAGTAAAACAATCATGAAACTGAAGAAAAACTGTGAATATTTAGAAGTTTTTTAAAAGCCTACTACGTTGTATGCCAAGATACAGCAGTCGTTTTTATTTAAAGAGCTATTTCAATAAAAACTGTGGATTCCTAAGTATTTAAAAGCAAATTAAGTTTGCCATAACCAATACCCAAAAATATTGTTTTAAAAATGTACAATATTACCCAGAACATTTTTAAAACACATAGTATTAAAAAGAAAAAAAAGTCAAAACAGAAAAAACTCATTTTCATTATAATTGGAACTATTAACAGACTGACCAATTTTATCATTAAAGAAGAAGGTTATAGGAAAGCTACTGAAGTTAACTTCAAAGGCCTAGCAGTAAAAAGTAATTGTAATATCAATAAAACTCTGAAACGATCAAATAGCCCCTAAGTAGTACTTACCTACTCTATCTTTGAACATGTATATGCCTTTTCTTAAAGCTGACAAGATTGCCCTTTTTAAATTTGTTTTTAATACCACAATTTTAAAAAATCTAACTATTAAACTGTTGGCAGCTCAGAATACAGAAACTTTACCTTCCCTCATTCATGACATGAATTAAGATTTGAACATTTCTTTTCCTCTGTCGCAGTTTTGAAAAACATGGTTTTGTCATTCCATGTTGTACAGTGATAGTTTATCTTTTTCATCATGAATGCTTGTTTACTGTATGTGTACAAATGAAACAATAAAGCTTACATACAATTATTTAACTAGTTTTTTTCTCATTGATTAACTCAAAGTCATAATCAAAATGAGATGTTTGTCATGTAATTGATATTTTTAATTTTAATTTTGTCACCTTAGATCCTGGGAAGACTCTGCCTGAAGCCCTTGATTATCGCACTGTTTGGCTACAGACAGTGCCTGGAGAAATAGACAGCAAAAGTGGTATTCCATCTTCCCTTATAACGCTACAGATTAAAGACTTTCTGAATGGACCAGGTAAGAAAGTCATAAAATGTGTGTACATTTTTTTCATGTGAATATATTAATGTGTATATAGGATCTGTTAGTAATCTTGACGTTCCATGCAAAAAATGAATAGCTCATTTTTCCCCAGAAATGTATGCTTTTCAGTCTGCCCATTTTAGAGATCAAAAGGCATATACAAATATGCATTAAAAATTACCTTCAGTCTAATACGAAGGTAGTTATCAATTAAAGAATAGTTGAAGCCAAACCATCATTCTCAGCAAACTGACACAAGAACAGAAAACCAAACACCGCATGTTCTCACTCATAGGTGGGTGTTGAACAATGAGAACACATGGACACAGGGAGGGGAGCATTACACACTGGGGTCTGTTGGGAAGTGGGGAGCTACGGAAGGGATAGCAGGAGGTGAGGAGTTTGGGGAGGGATAACATTGGGAGAAATGCCAGATGTAGGTGATGGGGGAATGGAGGCAGCAAACCACATGGCACGTGTGTTCCTATGCAACAATCTTGCAATTTCTGCACATGTACCCCAGAATTTAAAGAATAATAATAAAAAAAAGAATAGTTGAAACCAAAGCACCAATATTTTATTTCTACCTTTTCTATTAATTAACTGTTTGATCTTAGGTGTTGATCTAATCTGTAATTCAGTTTTCTTACCTGTATATGAAGAGGATAGACTGGATGAATTAATGGATAGGAAACATGATATTTAGATACATAAGATAGTATACTATAGGTAGATTAGATTTGATAGTTAAATGTACCTGTTTCACATGCTTAGCAAAGTGCATGAGACATAGTAATTACTCAGTTTTAGATAGAGTTATCAAAATGTTTTGAGAGCTAATTATGTCTTAGGCACTATGCATTTTAGTTTGCACTATAGTTTAGTTATCCTATTTTATGAATAAGACTAAAAAAGTGAAGTGAATTGCCTGAGGTCATAGTGACAGAGGAGCCATTCAAACCTGTCTTTATGACTCCAAAGACTAGATTTTAACTTCTGTACTATACTAATTTGGGCATAAATAAAGATTTTGCCTTTCTTCTTCGACCTTCCTCCTCTGTCTTTTCTTCCTTTATCTCATGTTCTTCCCCTTCTGTTATTTCTCCCTCGCCTACGTGTAGTCTTAGCTATTTAACAGGAATTATTACATTTCACATTTTGTTTTGTTACTTTATACTTGCAGTGCTTCAGAATGTTACCTGTGAAATGAGTATTAGTTTCTTCATTAAGATTTTTATTTCATTATATTTTTTGTTTACTTATTTTTTTTGAGACAGTCTTGCTGTGTTACCCAGGCTGAAGTACAGTGGTGCAATCATAGCTCACTTGGGCTCCAGCAATTCTCCTGCTTCAGCCTCCCAAGTAGCTGGGACTATAGGTGTGTGCCACCATGCCCAGCTAGTTTTGTTTGTTTGGTTGGTTTTTTTGTAGTAGAGGATGAGGTCTTATGGCATTTAACATGACTCAGTAGTAGAAATGTGATTTTTAAAGTAGTTGTACCTTTGTGTTTCTCAAGATACTTTTCAAAGTTGGGAATTAAATATATATAATTTCTGATTTTATGTCTATGCTATAATAGTGATAATATATTAGGAGAGTTAAACTTTTAAGTAAATGAATTGAAATAGTTATTTTGCAGCAGCACTTCTCAAACTTGATTCTGCATTTGAAGCTTCTCTGGGGAGTTTGTTAAAATGCAAATGGTGACTTAATAGTTCTAGAAGGGAGGGCTTGAAAGTCATGTCTAAAAAGTTCCCAGATGAAGTAGAGGCTGTTGGTCTGGGATGTACTTTATGTAGCAAGTTTTATATGACTCTTATCAAAATTATCTTTAAAAATCATATATATGACTTATCATATATGATTTTTGTTTTTTAGTATCAGTCTTTGAGAGCCAAACCGCGGTAATTTTGGGGCACAGGACAGGGAAATGATAACAAAGAAAGATGAGTGGCTTTTAGAATGGTGCTTTGATTATGGAAAATCAAGTGTAATGTCCAATGAATGATTTAAATTCTTCAAAGTCTAAAACATTTTAAACAAAAGTACTTTTATAATTTTTTTTTAGTTTGAGAGAAGATTAGTTTAAATGATAAACCAGCTGTGTGTGACTTCCGCTAAAACGCTAATCTAACAGCCTTGAACTGCTTCAGAATTTACTAGTTTAGATAAAAATTTTCTTACTGTAAGCAATTCATTATTTAGAGTAGATAAGTAGATGTTATTTCATAGAGTAGTTATATTATCTCACTACACAGCCAGATTGGCATGCTACTTACACTAATTTAGGTATCAAAAGGCCATAGCAGATAATGAGAATTGTATACCGCTAATTAAATGGGAATAACAGGACACATTAAAACAGCTTTTGCCACATGAATGTATCATTTTATAGATTTTGGCAACTCAAGGAAATCATATTTTTTCCAGTTCTTAGGTAATAGGATACTAAGAGGAATATCATTTATGTTGAGATTGGGCAAACAAATTTCAGCTTTATAGTGTTCCCCAATAACATTCCCTTTCCTTAAAAAGAAAAGCATTACAAAAAAAAAAATAAAAGCACTACAGGTAATACTTTTAGTTTTTAGGAAATGTCATTGTGTTATCATTTGGAATATTTAGCTACTTTTATATTTTAATCTGTATACATATCTATTTAAGTATCATTCCAGAGAATGTCTGGAACTGTATTAGTAATTTTCATCTATTTTTTTCTTGTTCTCTAATGAAGGATATTGTAACAATGAAAGTTATGACCCTGAATTAGCCAGGCATGGTGGTATGTGACTGTAGTCCTAGCTACTCAGAGAGCCGAGGTGGGAGGATTGCTCGAGCCCAGGAGGCCAAGGCTCCAGTGAGCTGTGATCATGCTACTCACTCCAGTCTGGGCAACAGAGTGAAAACCTGACTCAAAAAATAAATAAATTTACAACCCTGAAAGGTAGAAGGAATATTGATTATAAATGTCTAACCATAAGCTTTCTTCAAAAAGATGTGAACTTCACAGCTTTTGAAATTTAACCTTTCATATTCATTTTGCTGGGATTATTTTCTCTGAACAACGTGATACAAATGTTGTTCTTTAGCATTTGTTTTTAGAAAAATAATTTAAGAGTTCTTGAGTTTTCCCTTATTTCCTCTATTAAGGTTTCCCCATTTGCTCTATTAAGGTTCACTTAATGATACCTTAATAGAGCAAATGGTGTGTCCCAACTTCCACATCAGAAACTCTTTCAAACTTCTCCCAACCCCCAACCTTTTCCCCTTGTACACATTAGCAAGGTCAGTGGCTTGGAGAAACCTGGAAAACAGCAGCTACCAGAAACCCACTAGAATAATATCTCCAGCAGGTGATAGATTAGTTGGAACAAATTGGAACCATTGCAGTTCAGCAATCCTGGTTTCTTTCAAGCTGTTTTTAAAATGTCGTCATTTTAATACACAATCTAAACCCTGCAGAACAGTCCACAGCAGGTTAATTTGAATCATATGATGTGTCACTGCCCTCAGCTGACATGAGCTCTATTCCATGTGTGAAGCCATAATAAATCCATTCCCAACCGAGGAAAATTCCCCGTGAGAAGGTGAACTAATCCAGGCCTCACACTGGCATGCTAGCCCTCCATAATTGAAAGCAGGGCCACCTGTTCCCAGCACAGCTAGCCTATTGAAAAAAATTAGCATTAGATCAGATACTTCTTATATTGAAAAATCAATCACACTTCTTGCAAATTCAAATTCAGCTGTGAAGTGTTTGGTATGACATCATACAGAAATGTAGGAATGTGCCCACTTTATCCCATTTTAAAAGTTTTGTTAACCATAGGATTTCTTAACTTTGAAATGAGATTTTATTTTTTAATTTAATGAGAGCTGACATGTGAGAAGAAGAACTGGAAAGGGTGCAGATTTTTCTAATTAACTCTGGGTTATTTGCAAAAACATTTGAGCTCCCTGGTATTTTTTTCATTGTTCTCTCACAAATTTTTGAGCCACTGTCATTGTAGCCATGAAATGACATTTAAATGACAACAGAGAATAAAATTGCCAAATTGGGAAAACATTCCCAAGTCATTTATGTTTTATTATAAATTAATGCTTAGCATGCCACATTCATCACATAATTTAAATAACATGGTTATATCAAACACAAAATGATGAATGTAATTTCACATTTCTTTGAGTTTAGTATACATAGTGTCTGTATTTGAAATGCATAGCCACTGATCTTTTTCTCCTAATACAATCACTTCTTTAGTCTCACCCTGTTTAGCTCAATCATTAATTTACCTATCTAGTTTTCACTGTTTCTGATTTCATTTTGGTGTTTGATTAGTTTCATCTCTGGCTTTGATTTTGATTCAAAAAATCTGTTGACTTGAACAGGTTATAATCCTGTTTTGAATACAGTTTTCTCCTTATATTTTATGAATTAATGTAACTGTTTTATAGGTTACAATGATTTTCATTTCTACCTTAAAATAATTCCTAAACATCCTTAAACAATTGCATTTCCACAAACCTCTTTGATTTGAATGAAAATGTGTATTTAAATGTTGTAAAATAGTAAAAGACTTCTTAGGTACAGTAACACACCATTTGAATAGGTTTGTTTATGTGAATATAAAGTAGAAATTTTAAGTTGTTTACCCCCAAATATATGTATTTTTTTAAGTGTTTTTACCTTCCTTGGTTAACCCTGCTTTTATATTATTACTGAATTTGTTACTCAGTGGGGATTAATTCAGACATATCTTGAAGGTAACTGATTCAGGAGGATTAAGATACCTGGAAAAGATTAATCAAATATTCTCTTGATTCTTCTGGAGTAGAAAATGAATAATAAATAATATGTTTTTTAATCTTTAAATTTTTTTTCAATCGCAAATTACAAATGGATATTTAGTTGCCTAGTTCAAGCTTTATTGAAGTATAATTGACAAATAAAAATTATAGACATTTAAGGTGTATAATGTGATGTTTGATAAATG